AATAAAATCAAATTGCAGAATATAACCTTCATATTAGACTCTGGAGAAGGAACTTCCTGAGGCTGCCTACACACCATTCGTTTAAAGCACATTTCATGCACATTCACACATAGAATCCTGGGAACTGTAGCTTAGCCTTCACTGAGCTACAATTCTCTATTACCTGAGTCAGGGAGGCTGTGGAGCACCCTTGCTTGGATGTAGTGGAGGGCTGGATGAGGAGCAATAAGCTGAGTCCCTGTAACTGAGAGCAGCGTTGGCCCAAGGCATTTTGGCACCTGATGAAAACTCCAAAATGGTGCTTCCCTCCCCGTCAGGGAAGAAGGGCTCAGGGAAGATCTACATCAGGAACAAGGGTGGGGGAGGGGGAGAGAGAAAGATAGACATCAGGATTTGCAGTCCTGGTGGACCCTGCCACCTGAGGCGGTCACCTCACCTTGTTTCATGGGTGGGTTGGCCCTGGCTGGGAGGCTCCCAAATCTGGGAATTAGATATTCTACCTATTGCGCTGGATTATATGGCATTCGCTTTGAAGTTGCAAGTGCATAATTTGGCGGGGTGCTCATAGATCCAGCCCTGTCACTAGAAGTTCAAGTGGCCTCAAGTGGTAAAGAGCACCTGCTGCCAGCTTTAGGTTGTTCACCACCTACAGGTGTTCCTGAACAGGGAAAGCCTGACTACAGTGTCCCGTATATTGGTAACCTCAAGTTTGGATTTGTGTAACACACTCTGTGTGGGGCTGCCTTTAAAGCTGGCCTAGAAGCTGCAATTAGTGCAAAATACAGCAGTGAGTCTGCTCTGTGATACAGCCAGCTGAGAACATACAACACCCCATCTGAAAATATTGCAATGGCCGCATTATGTGTTGAACTGAGCAAGGTGGCAGCATAACTATGGAAATCCTGAGATATGGCTTGTGTTGACTTGTATGAATTTTTGGAGCTGCCTAAAAGAATGTCTTTTTGACCATGTATATGCTCAGCATTAGTGCCTGAGCTGATCTGTGTGTGTGTGTTGCTTTCCTAGTTGCTAAGAATTGATACAATTTTATTTTTATCATATGTACTGCATTTGATATTTTTATGGTCCCAGTTCTGGGACTGCGACTGTAGCAAAGAGAAGGCTGTAGATTACATGAATGAATGAATGAATGAATGATTGATGATGATGATTGATTGAATGCATTCTCCCATACTGCCTTAGTGTCCAGGGAGAGCCAATGGTTTGAGCCACCTGAACTGGTGGTGCAGTCATTTTTGCAAACAATTCTATGAACTCCTTTTGATGTAAAAGGTCCTTAAGCAGCATTTTATCCACAGAGCAATGAAGATCCTCAGGAAGCACAAAGAGGCTATGTAAACATTACCGGCTTAAATTACAGCTAGATCATTCTTTTTTCTTAATTCAGATTGAAGCTAGTTTTGGGGGAGAGTGCATCAAAAAGAAGTATTTCATAAGAAATAATGGGATAAAGATAAATATGGGTTGTGGCTAGTGTAAGGTACATGTACGCTGTTTCCCAAATGGGAAAGTTTCTCAAATGGAAATGCACCAGATTCAGAGTAAATGGGAGTGTACACAAAGCCAGTAATTGAACAAGACATGCCTTATTTCCAGAAAATGACAGGCGTAAGAGAAAGGGAGAAAAAGAGAGAAATAAACCCAGGTGGTTTCTCTTTCTTCTACAAATTTCAGTTTCAGATGCTCTGTGAGTAGCTATGGAGTAGGGACTGTCCCTACTGGGGTGAGTAAGACAGTCAGAAATCGCCCAACCAAGAAAGGGGAATTCACTAACTCTTGGCAAAGCTACTAATAGCAGGACCAGCAGCAGCATCCTCATCACAGAGACCAGAAAGCTGCCAAGGTGGGAGGGCCAAGAAGGGGCCCTCAGGCTACAACTACAGCATAGGCTCCTTATGCCTGCATCTACAAGGCTGACCTATGATTACTCTTCTCCGTACAACCTGAGGAAGCAACCTGAAGCACTAAGCAAGAAAAGGACACACTCCAAGGATGACTCCATATACATATATATTGTTTTCTCTCTTTTTCCTATTTTGACTTCTTGGAATGGAGTACTGCTGGTAACATGTTTATATTCCTCCCTCCTCTAGCTCACAGCCTGAAAGGCAGACTAAAGACAAACTGTGTGCGTTATTCTTGAGCATCAGTTCATACTGCTGTGGTGGAGTGCTCTAGTCTTGATTTGTAAAGGAAAGTAGTAAAAATGGTCCCATTAACTGTGACTGGGTGCATATTTTAAGAACCAGGCTGCTGGCCTCTTCCTCTCTCCGGCAGAGGAAACTCCATGCAGGCTGGCATATCGTCTGATCATCATCACAGACGTTTATCTGACTTGTGTTTCTTGTTGCAGCAGGAAGGAAGGCACAACCTCAGTCACTCAAGAGGATCTGCAGTGGGGAGCACTCGGGCAAGCAGGTGCACTAATGCTTTTTCTCCGAGCTGTGAAGAACCCATCATACCAAGCAGGGCTGAGGACAGAGGGATTGTGTGCAATCTTCTTTTCAGCTGAAGGGTTCTAACTGTATATTCTGTTGCACTCTGGCAGATTGATATTAATATTTACAGAATGTGACCCTTTCCCTCATTATTTATTTATTTATTTATTTATTTTTGCAATATGTGGCCTCTTTCTCATTATGCTGTGTCTAACAGGAAACTGACCTCCCTTAATCTAGCCTGATCCTTTTTCTTCTCAAGGAGATTAGGAAAAGCACTCTATATCCGGTGTAAACAGGATGCTCAGTAGTTGGTGTAGGATCTGTCAGATGATACCAACAGCTACATCTGATTACTGGGTTTCCTGTGGCATCAGGTTCTGCAGCTGCTAAGACCTCCTACCAGTGATTATTGGAATTGCAACTAGCCTAAGCGTATACAGCTCTAACATCGGTGCTCTCCCACAAGCTAAGTGCCCAGGACTGTTGGTCAGCCTAGCATAGCTGGATGGGGGGGGGGGAGTGCTGTTTCTAAGAGCTTGTTGGAGAAACTCGAAACTCTTGGGTGAAACTCAATTAATTGTTCCAATATAAAAGGTATTGTGTCCCTTGAACTAGCTGAGTCCTCTCCAGAAATCAGTGTATTAATTAGATTTGCCAGTCTGCTAGAATTCTGGCTGTTTTTTGTTTTTTTAATAAAGAGCAACATTTAAATCCTGTGTGCAATGCTTAGATCTTTTGTTGAGCACAGGTCAGAAAAACACAAAAAGCATATCATTCTTCAATAAACTGCTTTTTAAGATGACACTGGCCTTCCTTCTTTTTTCTGGTATTTATTTAAACTACTCATATACTGCTGTTGTGGACAACCTCCTTGCATAAAATTGTAAAAAGGGTAATATTTTCAACACAAATGACACAATTTAAAAAAAAAAAACTGTTTGCTTGCCTTGAAGGTTACAGTGTTACATGGCAATTCATTTAGGATTCATTACTTCCATAACACAATCCTATACATGTCTACTCAGAAGAAATTCACACAGAGTTCAGTGAGGCATATTCCCATAATATGTGTGTATAGAATCGCAACCTTAGGTCTAGGTCAGGGGTCTGCAACCCGCGGCTCCGGAGCCGCATGTGGCTCTTTTACACCTTTGCCGCGGCTCCGGGGCGGATACTAGCGAGGGGAGGAGGCGCATTGTGCGCCCCGACACTCCCCACTGTGGCGGGGGCTGTACTGGCTGTGACATCGCATGGGGGCAGTGCGTGCGTTAGTCACGCACCGTCCCGACGTCACCTTCCCACCCGCAGTCAGATCGGAGGGCAGCAGCGCGCATGCTTTAAATGTCGCAATGGTTTTGCGGCTCCCAGGTGTTTTTTTTCTTCGGAAACGGGTCCAAGTGGCTCTTTTTGTCTTAAAGGTTGCAGACCCCTGGTCTAGGTGGGGTTCACCTTCTTAACAAGAAGCTGGTTCCTTTAGGAAAGTTATAACTCTGTTCATGTTCACAGTCTGTGTTCTTTAAAAAGTTTTTTTTAAAAAAATAATAATAAATAAACTCTGCATTTGTTCAGGTGCATTACACCCTGAAGGTTTTAAAAAACAAACAAACCTCTCCACATGCTCAGAAGCTATGTGTCACTGAAGAGCAGCTGTGTAACTAATTGTGCGCCATTCTAGGATCTTAAAAAGTAAAAGGGTAAAGGGACCCCTGACCGTTAGGTCCAGTCATGGACAACTCTGGGGTTGGGGCGCTCATCTCGCTTTACTGGCCGAGGGAGCTTCTAGGTCATGTGGCCAGCATGACTTAAGTCGCTCCTGGAGAAACCAGAGCAGTGCATAGAAACTCCATTTACCTTCCCGCCGGAGCGGTACCTATTTATCTACTTGCACTCTTACGTGCTTTCGAACTGCTAGGTTGGCAAGAGCTGGGACTGAGCAACGGGAGCTCACCCCGTCGCGGGGATTCGAACTGCCGACCTTCTGATCGGCAAGTCCTAGGCTCTGAGGTTTAGACCACAACGCCACCCGCGTAAGCGTTTACAATTGCTTAAAGGCCCACATACATTACCTGTGTTATTAAACTCTCTCTGCACATGTTTATGGGCACTGTAGCTCTTTTGGGGTGGTAGAACGTCTGTACATGCTCAGAAGTCCTCTCTCGGCCAGAATGCTAAGTGTACTAGCAGCCTGATCCACGAGAGGGCGCATAATAATGACCGCGCTCTAGTAACAGGAGGCCGCACCACTCAGAAACCCGCTAAGCCCTTTGCTCCTCCCCTCAGCATGACGAACTGGAGCCTACACCAATAACGAGGGGGAGGAAAGTCGGAGGGGGCGGTAACTGTCTGAGACGTTCCCGCCTCTAACCTCCGGTGGTTACCTAGGTGATCAAACAATCAGGCTCCGCCTCCTCACGTGTCCCACAGGCGTTTAGTGGTGGTGGCGGTGGAGGAGGAGGAGGAGGAACACATCGCGGCGCGGCTTAACCCACGCCTCTCCTCTGCGAACGCGCATGCGCGCGGCGGCGAAGGCCGGGTGCGGGGCCTGCTAACCCCTTGGAGGAGGAGATGGAGGAGGAGCTGGGGCTGGAGCTGGGCGTGTCTCCGTCGCCGTCACGCATCGGCAGCGCCCACTCCTGCTCCTCCCTCCTCCGCCTTGAACAGGAGGCCAAGCGCAAGAAGCGGGCGCAGCAGCAGCGCAAGGCCGCCGACATCATGCCGGGTGAGAGGCGCTAACGTTCGCCGCGCGGGAACCTTTGGAGTGACGTCACTCCGTTTGGCTGGGGGTGGGGGAGAGAGGAGAGAGAACCTGCCCGTTAGTTATCTCCTCCCCGGGGAAACCTCCATCTCTACCGCCCTAGTGAGTTGCTATTATTAACAAGCCACTTGGTGCCCCGCCATTGTTCCAGGGATCTCGGGATAATCACGACCCCGTCCATGTTATCACCATCACCACAACAACCCTGCAGGGTAGGGCAGATGGAATGGCTGGCTCACTGAGTGACCTTGAGTATTAATGGCTGGGCGATGGGTACAAGGGGACCTTGGGGCACAGGTTCTCCACGTACCCGTGGGTCGTTTTACTAAACTTTTACCTATGTTAATCTGTTGTGACCCATGGACAGCCTGAAAGGGCAAGGGCTGTGGGATGGAGACTCCAAAGCATTTGAAAGACTCCTCACAAATTCCCATCATGGAAGTGATTCCTACTACTAATCGGACCCCCCAAGTGTCCCCATTTTCCACGGACAGTCCAGGATTTGCAGAAGCCGTCTCAGTTTCTGATTTGATTTCGAAATGTCCCGCTTTTCCTTTAGACATCCCTATTTCATCAGAGGGTATGGTCAGTGACCTGACCTCTGAGCCGTCTGAAAGCAGCCCTGTACAGTATAGGGAAGTTTTTTTTAATGTTTGATGCTTTATATTTTTATATATGTTGGAAGCCACCCAGAGTGACTGGGGCAACCCAGTCAGATGGGTGGTGTATAAATAGTAAAATGATGATGATGATGATGATGGAATTAGGACATCCCTATTCTCATTGGAGAAATGTTGGAGGGTATGCTATGTGCTACAGGCAACCAGATTGTAAGCTGTTTATCAGTTACCTGTCAGCTGTGTGTTGCTGAGCCTGGTACCATGCCATGCTTTTCATATCATGTGTGTTGTGGTTCTTAAATATTGAGCCGCCTTAAGATGGGAACATAGGAAATTGCCTGATACTGTCTGTTTGTCCATCCAGTTCAACACCACCTTTACTGATTGTCAGCGGCTGTCCAGGATTTTAGGCAGGGAGAATTTTCCCAGTCCTACCTTGAGATGCCAAGGATTGAACCTGGGACTTTCTGCCTGCATAGTAGATGCTCTGCTACTGAGCTACAGCTCTTCCCTTGAGGATCTTCAAACAGACATCATTTGACAAGGGTGCAAGCCATTGCACAGTGCTAAAGCATAGACTTTTCCACGCAGAAGGCCCCATGTTTAATCCCCAGCATCTGTAGTGAAAAAGAACTTGGATAATGGCTTTTGGAAAGGCCTTCAGCTGAATGAAGTCTTAGAAAGTTTCTGTTGCTAAGAGTGGAAAATACTAGGCTAGACAGAATAGTGGAGTGGCTCAGGATAAGGCAGCTTATCTTTATGGATAAATCATAATGTGAAGCAGAGACATTCCACTGTATCAGTAAAAGATGAACCTGGTGTTTTAAAGATTGAATGTGCTATAATTCCTCTTGTTGATGGTGTGGATAGAGGGCAAATTTCTATGTTATCTCTTATTTTAAAAACCCAGCAATTTAGCTGCCCCCCCCCCGCAAATACAAAAATATTTCAAGTTTAAGGTTCTACTAGTGTTTTGCTGTGTTATTTAGGGTTGCTGCCTTGCAGGGGTGAGGAACCTGTAGCCTTCCAGATGTTGTAAGACTCCAACTGCTATAAACTCTGGTCCTGGCTGGGGCTGATGGGCGTTGGTGTCCAGCAACATCTGGAGGGCCCTTATTCCCCAGCCCTACTTGTATTGCTTAAATAACAGGTGAAAGCTTCCTTCTGCTCCTCTGTCTACAGGAGGCAACAATTGGGCAGCAGTTGGGCCTTGCTCAAATAGGATAGAAGTTCAGCAATGGGCTTTATCTTCTTCCTTGCTCATGTCTTTTTTCTTGATTTTGCAGTAGGGCGAAGCAGTGATGACGTGCTGGATCTGACCAAGTACACAAAAAACCAGCCATGGTGGCGCAAGCTCTTTGCACCCAACTCAGGGTCCAGTGCAGAGAAGTACAACGTAGCAACCCAGCTGGCAATCGGAGGCGCCACTGGATGGTGAGGCAGTGTTGTGCGTTGGCTGCATTTGTGGTAGATGGCAGGGGAAGGGGACAGCAAATTCACCCAACTCTTGTAGTAACACAGTCTCTGTGCTACAGATTGCCATTTTTACTTACTGCAGATGGAGCTGCCTTGTCAGTTATTCTGTATAGTTGATGTAACTTTCCTGAATTATCCCCGTTTTTGATTTGCAGGTGCACTGGCTTCATCTTCCAGAAGGTTGGGAAACTGGCGGCGACTGCTGTGGGAGGTGGCTTCTTCCTGCTTCAGGTTGGTGGTTGCCTACCTTGGATTTGGGAGTAGTTGACCAGTAGAGTGGGGTATCTTGGCTGCCTTAACTGCAGAAAACTGCATGCAGCTGTGACTCATCTTTTTCACATGAGTGGTTTAATGGGATGTCTAGGCAGCATCCACAACCCAGCCCTAGTTGGGGCCTCTTGTTCACTGGCTTGCCTGTGCAGGAGATTCAAGTTGGAACACTTTGGTAGTTCCTTTTATAGCTGTGCCAAATCGCCTCTTGATATTTTCCACCCTGTTGGTGGGCAGATACATTTTGAGTGATGGTGGTTGATTTCACCATATTCTCCAGGACAGAGCCCACCATTAGCGGTGGCTTTCTTTTCTGCTAATGTATTTTTCTCAGCTGACAATCCCTGAAAGTGGCAGCAACAACTATTTGTGTTGGGCAGCTTAAGTACCATTTTGCATACTTAGCAGGACTCCAAATTTGTTCTGATGGTGGTGAACAGTATCCACTACAAAAAAAAATGGAGAAATTTCTGCACTGTGACAAGTCTTTGCTTGTGGGGGAAGAGGGGGGGAATGGATAAACATCATTTGCAGCATTATGGCTCAGCTGTAGTTTCTTCATCATTCCCTGGCAGAGCTTTAAAATATTCCTGGCAGTGGCAGCATCTAGTTCGCAGTTGCTGCAGCTGCATATTGCTGAATCTGGTGCTATGCCATGCCTTGCAAATAATGTGTGTTGCTGTTCTTATACTCTGGGCATTTCAGCAGCCTACAGACAGGTTGTTGCACTTAATGGAGTGCCAGCACAGTATAGTAGCTAGGGTGTTGAACTAGGACCTGGTAGGCTAGGGTTCAAATCCCAGCTCAGCCATGAACCCATATTGCTCTCAGATGAACCCATCTTGCAGGATTGTTGTGAGAATAAACAGGGAGGTGGGAGAACCATGTATGCTGCCCTGAAGTCTTTGGACTGATTGAAATATCTGGCTGAAATGCTACAAGTGAAGTTTTCTGTCTAGAGACATAGTGGCTTGTATACAATGTTAGTCCTACTCAGAGTAGACTCATTAAAATTAATGGGCATAGCTAACTTGAGCCCATTCATTTCAATGGGTCTACTCTGGCTAAAACCTAGATTCAACCCAGTGTGTGTGTTGTGGGGTAATGCATCATATCTTGATATCTGCCTATCATAGATCTGTTAAAGCAGATGTGAGGAAATTTCGGCCCTGCAGATATTACTGAACTCCAATTCCTACCACTGGCCAGGCTAGCTAGGTCTGATGGGAGTTGTAGTTCAGCAGCATCTGGAAGGTCAACGGTTCCCCACTCCTGTGCTAAAGATATAGGACCTCTGTAAATATTAATATAAAAAGAGAAGATGATAGCAAGCCTTTTTGTCTTCCAGCTGGATTATCAAAGGATCTCTGATTTTTCTTTTCTTTTCTATAACATTGGTTTGTGCAATATAGAGTTTTGGTTGCCATTGGAGAAGATTCTGATAGCATCAACAGCAACACATGATCACTTGCAGCAAAGCCAATCCACTGCTAATTTTAAACATCAGCATCAGTGGAACAGCTCCTCTATTTTAAGCTTGGTGCTCACACAAAAAATGATCTTCGTTTGAACCATACTTGCTTCTGTGCCTTCTATTCCAGCTTCCATGCAGGTCTTCCATGTGATAGAAGAGCAACTGCTAGAGTGTATTGGGGAATGCACTGGCTCAGTGGGCTCTTCAGTCATCCATGGACTCCCCCAAAATTGCTCAGTCTTACTGAGTACTGGCATTGGTTATATTTGTTTGATTCATCCAGGCTTTTCTTAAAACATCCATTCCAGGGTTTGTGTGGGCAACAGAGTCCTGATTCTTTGTGTTAGATTACCAGTCTTCCTGCTGGACAGCCAATTGTATTCTGTACACATTAAGCAGTAATTCTTAACTTTTTCAGACCTGGGATGCATCTGTAACTTGTTCATGCATTTCTTGACTGACTGGGTTTAAAAAACAAAAACAAAACACCATATACTTATATAGTGGTAAGTGCTGCTGTTGTGATCTACCTTAGATCAAGCTGTGATCCAGTAGTGACTCCCAATTCACCGGTTGACGGCCAGTGCATTAAAGCAGGTGTGTCAAACTTTTGGCCTTCAATATGCTGCTCAACTACAGATTGTATCATAACGGGCCATTGACTGTGCTTCCTGAGGTTGATGGGAGTTGTAGTTCAGCAACATCTAGAGGGTCAATGGTTCCACACACCTGCACTAAAGAAGGCTAGGTTCCTGCTGTCCTTGACTCCAAATGCTGTTTTGTTCACTGCTTTTCTCAATAGCTGCAACTCATTGGAAGGGCAGTTCTCCTGGGGCTACTGCTTTGAGCTGCTATGTAGCAATGTGGATGGGGTACAAGAAATGGGCAATGCTGTCCATAAATACTTGTCCAGCTAGACGTGTAGTGTTTTGCTTCAGGAAACATTTTCTCTACTCCAGCTTGCAAACCACACAGGCTACATCAAAGTGGACTGGCAGATGGTTGAGCGGGATGTGAGCAAAGCCAAAGAACAGCTGAAGTTTCGTGGGAGCACCACCAATCAGCTGACACCAGAAGTGAAGAGCAAAATGGATGAGGTGAGACTGGTGGGCAAGTTGGAGAGATAAAGGAGGCTAGCAGCAAAGCCTTGAGTAGGAAAAAGTGTTTGATGTGATAACTGTGCAGTAAGGAGGAGATGGGCAAAAATTATTAAATATGTTATGGGGGACCTGCAGATGTTATTAGACACCCAACTCACATCACTCCTGTCCTGGACTACTGGCCCCGAAGGAGGGCTCCTGGGACTGGTTGGGTGCAGGTGTATCATCATCATCATTTTATTTGTATGCTGCCTTTCCACAGTTGAAACTATGCTCAAGGCGGCTTACAACATGACAAGATTGACATAATTACAAACATAACAGAAGTCATAAACAATCAATAAAAAACATCAAAAAGTACATAACCAAATGGAAACATTTTCCACGTAAATCATGAGATCTAAAACTAAAGATACAGCAATAATATCAATAACAGCAACAAGCTCTCTCAACCTCCTGTGAACAATACTCTAGCCCAAGAATCTGTTGGTTGCCTAAAATGCCAGAGTTGTAAGTTCTGGTGCTTTACTAAAGAAGGGGTAGACTTACAGCAAATCAGCCTGACAATTCTCCTAGCCTTTGCAGATGTGGGACAAGATATAAGAGATGACTTATCCACACCCAAGCAAATGTTAATACATTATTTATACAGCAAAACAGCACACATCATTTCACCTGGCTAGATGAGGGCATAGGTGGCAAATACCTTACAGAAAGTTCTCCTTTCTGGGCTCAGAGCCCAGCACTCCAAGACCACAGATAAGGATCACATCAAAGCAAGCCAATTAACATATATCAAAACAAGTTAATATAAACATATATATGAGCTCATTGTTACAGCAGCTACCAATTAATTATGGGATTATCTTGACTACCAGTATGGCGTTAGCAAAGCTTCTGAAACAGTTAGCCTTTGGTTCAATACAACTCTAAGCCAGGATAGAGGTCCACAGGTTCCCCATCCTTGCATTAAATGGAGAGGGAGGTGTGACAGCAGACAGTTTTTGCTTACCGAGTATGGCTGTAACAAAATCAAGATGGTACACTGAAGGGAGACCCAGTTTGTCAGCAGCAGATTTCAGATTTCAAATACAGTTGATAGCTTCTAGCCAGAATCCAGAGAGAGTTCGCACTTCTCAAGACTCTGGTCTGAGTAGGCCTGCACAACCAGTGGCCCACAGGGTCGGGGCTCTTATGCTTGCTGCCGCCTTATAATTGCAAATGTGGGGGTGTCATTTTGTCAGGCACTTGAGCAGCCACAATGCATGTCCAGGAGGCAACATGTAGCTTCTGAAAATCAAATAGGGACCAATATAAGATTTGCCTTTTCTCTTTTTCAGGTGATCTCCTTTCTGAAGAAGAATGTTCTACTGACTGGAGGGTTTGTTGGAGGGTTTCTGCTTGGCATGGCTTCTTAGGAGCCTCCTCTGATCTGGCTCCTGTGCTGCTGCTGTTGCTGCCACCGCCATCTCCTACTCAGTAATCGTTCGTTTTCTCCATTGCTGAACTTGTCCGCTGGAACATTCTGACATCTCTCTGTATGCACCTTATGACCTCCAGAAACACTGCCACAAGCTCCTTTTGCTCCTCTCCTTTTTTCATTTGATTGATTGGTGATTGAGAGGTAGCATTAGGCTGAAGGCTGTTTGCTGTGAGGCTGATTCCTACCCCTGCCTGATATCTCAGGTTTTGTATAATCACCCCCAAATTATTTTCCAGTGGGAAAACATGCACAAAATGTTATGATAGTACCCTGCAGGGGAGCACCCAACTCCCTTGTAGGCACCTTCTCATTGTGTTGTACCCCCTGGGTGGCAAAGAGTACAGCCTGTGCTTTGGAGAGCACAGAAGCTCAGCAGCCTAAGGAAAGGGTGTGCCAGGCCATGTCCCAAAATAACTTGCATCTAGTTTTGGCTTATTCTTCCCTGGACAGGCTCTGAATACTGCTTCCTAGAAATGCCCGCAGAAGAGAGAAACAGGTCTTCCTGACACCTCCCAAACTTTTATTTTTACCTCTTGCTGAAGCCACAGAGCTGGAATGATCTGTGGAAACTCTGACTGCTGCGTGGGATTTCTGCCACCCTCTCCTGCTGAAGGAGGCCTGAAAAGCTTGTAGTGGGTGGGGTGAACCCTCTTCCCAGAATATGTATTTTGAACACTCACTTGATGATGCTTCAACTAAACTTTGCTCTTGGTGGTAGAATGGCTAAAATAATGACCGGAGTTGGAAAACTTTCTACATGACTCACGCCATTGGTAGCAAAAGTTACTGGATTATAGGGATGGAATGCTGTGTTTTGCTGCTGGAGCCTCCTGCTCTGTCTTTTATGGACCTCCAGCTCCCTGAAATGTATGTAGGAAGAGCTGGGCATGGTCTGCTGTTGCTGTAAACCAGCCTTCTCCAACCTGGTGCCCTCCAGATATTTTGGTCTTTTGGTGCCCTCAGCCAGCATAGCCAAGGGGAGTTGTAGTCCAAAATATCTGCATGGCACCACTCTGGGGAAAGTTTTTCTAGATCATGAGTGCTGCATGAGAGATGTGACTCTTGCCCCCCAAACTGAAGATGGAGAAGTAATGGTTGGATTATATTGACAGAAGTTGGTTTATCTCTGCATGAGTTGCATTCTGGACAGAAGCCTGCACTTTTCATATCTGCTCCAGGAGCACTTAAAGCTGATTTTCTAATACGTGGTTTTTTCCCCTCCTGCAGTCCCTACCTGTCTGTTACAATATACATGTAAAAATTAAAATGATATCCTGAGCTACGTTTATAAATGAACAGATTTATTATAGCAGAAGCTTTAATGGTTCGGAGCAGGGATAGGAACCCATGGCTCTCCAGATGGAGCTGCACTGCAACTCTCATCATGCCATCAACTATGCTGGGTGACTGATAGAAGTTGGAGTCTGGCAACTTCTGAAGGGCTTCCCCAGCCCTGGCTTTTAAAAATACTACTCTTGTTAGTTCATCCTTGCAAAAGGCTGCCCTGCAAATTTATTATTTATTTATTTATTTATTTATTGAATATATATACCATCCTTCATCCAGAGATTACAGGGTGGTTTGCGGCATAAAAATAAAAAATGGAAACACAATATATATAACATATTAACAAAAAAACCAATAATCCTTTGTCCCCCAAACACATTTAAAAGGCCATAAATTTGTTTAATCAGCCAAAGGTGCTTTCACCTAGCACCTAAAGATATGTAACGAAGATGCCAGGGAAGCCTCCCTGGGAGAGCATTCCACAGATGGGGAGCCAGTGCAGAAAAGGCCCCTTCTCGCATTGCCACCCTCCAGACCTCTTGAGAAGGGGCCACATGAAGAAGGGCCTCAGATGACGCTTTCAGAGTCTGGGTTAGTTCATACGGGGAGAGGTGATCCTTGAGGTATTGCGGTCCTGAGCCGTTTAAGGCTTTATAGGTCAAACCCAGGACTTTGAATTGGGCCTGGAAACTAATTGGTAGCCAGTGCAGTAAGGCCAGGATTAGTGTTATATCCTTGAACCGTCTTGCTCAGGTGAGCAACCTGGCTGCTGAATTTGGCAGCAGCTGAAGTTTCCAAATTGTCTTCAGAGGCAGCTCTGTGCATAACGTGTTACAGTAATCTAACCTAGGGGTTACCAGAGCATAGACAACAGAAACTAGGTTATCCCTGTCCAGATAGGGTCACAGATGGGCCACCAGCCGAAGCTGATAGAAGGCACTCTATGCCACCAAGGCCACTTGAGCCTCAAGCAGCAGCAGTGGGTCCAGGAGTACCCTCCACAGCTACGTTCCTGCTCCTTCAGAGGGCAGGAAACCTCCCATCCTGGTCTAGTGAACCACCCACTAACAGTGCCTCAGTCTTATCTGGATTTAGCTTCATTTTGTTGGCTCTCATCCAGTCCATTACCGAGGCAAGACAATGATCCAGCATATCCACTGCCACATTTGCAGATGTAAAGGAGAAGTAGAGTTTTGTGTGAGTAGCATATTGCTGACAGTGTACTCCAAAACTCCTTATGACCCCACTCAGCAGATTCATGTAGATGTTAAACAACATGGAGGATGAAATCAAACTCTGTGGAACACATACTGAAGGTTCCATGGGGCTGAACAGCACACCCCAAGCATCACAGTCTGAAAACGTCCATCCAAGTAGGACCAGAACCACTTCAAAGCAGTGCTGCCCATCCTTAACTCAGACAGCCACTCCAGAAGGATACCATGCCTGATGCTATAAAAAGCCACTGAGAAGTCAAGGAAAATTCACAAAGACATATTTCCCCTGTCTCTCTCCTAACAAAAGTCATCATACAGGGCGAGTAAAGCAGTTTCTGTGCTAAAGGTGGGCCTAAACACTGATTGAAATGGATCTAGAAAATCAGTTTCCTCCAAGAAAATGGATCTGGTCTGTGACCACCCACTCAATAACTCTGTCTAAGAACTCTGACAAAGATATTGACAAGGATATTGTTTCCTGCTTGGCAGGGGGTTGGACTCAATGGCCCTTGTGGTCTATTCCAACTCTATGATTCTATGATTCTAAGCTGGAACATGTAGAGCAGGGCAGCCAAGATGATCAAGGGTCTTGAAACCAAGCCTTATCAGGAACAGTTGAGAGTTGGGTATATTTTGCCTGGAAAAAGAGACTGAGAGAAGTTTTGATAGCTGTCTTCAAATACCTAAAGGGCTTGTTTTCTTCTGCTATGGAGGCTAGGTCTGAAACAATGGTTTCAAGATACGAGAAAGTAGATGACGACTAAATATCTGGAGCTTTCTTATGGCAAGAGGTGTTCAACAATGAAATGGACTCCCTCAGAAGGTGGGGGGCTCTCTTTCATTGGAGGTCTTTAAGCAGAGTTTTGATGGCCATCAGTCATAGATGCTTTAGTTGATATTGCACTGCAGGGGGTTAGACTAGATGAGCCTTGGGGCCCCGTACAACTCTGTGATTCTATGACCCCAGCTCCCATCAATTCCATCCATCAGTGAATGGTGACAAATGATGGGAGTTAGATTTCAACAACATCTGGACGCCACAGATCTGAGGAATAAACAGTATATTTGGGTGCTGCTTTTTTCCAATCTCATTTATTTTTTGACTTTATTGGGATTTCATTGCCTCTCGAGCGATGATTGAAAGAGCCAATCTGTTAAGTGGCCACCAGAGGGTGCTAAAAGAATTGAGCTGGCCTCCAATTTGGAAACAAGGGCATAAATTAAGGAAGAGCTATGTTGATGAGAGAGAGAGACCATCAATGAAGGTGGAGTGGTTTTTTTTTTGTTTTTTTTTTGTTAAAAAACAAACCCAAAGCAGCCACCCACAAAAACTCCAGTAGCTGCCCACACTTGAGTCTAGAAAACCGCTCAAAGTTTTAAAATGTTTTTATATGATATTTAAATGTTTGAGGTGAGAGTTTAAAATAAACTGGTTTTGCTGTATTTTGTTATTTGATGTTTGTTTTTTCCTAGTACCTACTGTACTGAAGTGAATGCTGAAGGGAGATATGACTTTAAGGCAGGGGTCAATAATTGTTTGGGCCAAATGGCTGCATTCCCTCATGCAGTTCAGGGATTGCATGCTGGAGTTACCTGCAAAAAAACAACACACACACACACGGTTATGCTTGGAGGACAGCTACATGCCTATGGGATGTCCTTATTCTGCACACTGTGTCTACAACTTAACTGAGCTATCCACAATGATGCCAAGGTCCTGTTCTTGGTCAGTTACTGCCAGTTCAGATTCTGTTAGCCTATATGTGAAATTAGGATCCCTTCACCCTATGCATCACTTAACACCTGCTTGCATTGAATTACATGTCATTTTGATGCCCATTGGCCCAGTTTTTAAGGCTAGTTTGGTGTTCTTTGCAGTCCTTTTGCTTTAATGACAATTTGATGTCTTCAAAACTGGCTGCCCCACTATATAGTTTTTGAACAAGTTTAAAAGCAGATCCCAGTACAGATCCTCAGGGCGACTCCACTTTCTACATCCCTCCAGTGAGAGAACTGCCCATTTGTTCTTACATCCTCTTCTTTTACCAGGTTCTGATCCAGAAGAGATCATTTCCTCTTATCCCCAGTTGTGACACCCGCACCCACCAATTTGGCTTCAGAACAAGTTAAGGTGACCGGAAAACCTAGTGACTTTGTACAAGTGGCTTGCAGACTCTGCCGCCTCCCACTTTTAACTAAAGCAATAACATCCTTATACAAATCCTTGCCTGGGAGTAAGTCATTTGAATTCAATGAGGCTTGCTTCTGAACAGACAGGCTTAGAATTGTGCTGTATGTTTCTGGGTTAACATTAACCATCTCCCTGAACTGAACAGTACCTGTGAAAAACTACTTTATCTCAAGTCAGAATTATGGTCTATCGTGCACAGAATGTCTTTCCAAGGTTCAGGCAGCTGTCATTTGCTTCCTTTAATGAAATGCCATGGATTTAATCTGGGACCTTGTGCATGAAAAGCAGATCTCACCAGTGAACTATAGCCCCTCTACAAGCAATCTTCAGTATTTACCCTCTATAACTTCTTTGTGAAATAAACATGTAATCACTACTGTAGTGGCTGCATGCGTGGTACAGGTGAAATCTGAACCAAGGCATTTCCTTATTCAGAGATTGGGCTGTTGACTACTGTGGCAACAATAATCCTCTGATCCTTGCTCACTACAGAATTTCTCACTACAGACTGAGTTAGTTAAAATGTAAGTTTGACATCATACCTACTCATTTTGTAGTGAGCAAGGATCATGAAGGGCTATTGTTACCACAGTTACCTTGCAGCATCTGCCTACTACTCACCAGTTAAGTGTATTTAGCAGGGGCTCCCAAACTGGTCTACAAGCCTCATTCAGGCGGTCTGAGGTGTGTTTATTGATTTGTACTGAAGATGGGAAACAGCATATGCATTACGTTAAATATTTATATTGATTTCTTTAATTGCTTCCTTTATTTCTTACATTTTACGGCAATTTGAATTTATGGGATTCAAAATGTATGTAAGAGAAGCAATAAAGTTTAAAATAATTTAACAGAGTACATTAAAATTGCTACAACCAGCAGAACAGTCATTAAGTCCACCAAGACGCTCAACAATTTCCAAGTTATCTGGGTGGGAAGCTTGGAAAGCACTTGTATACAGTGGTACCTCAGGTTATGAGCTTAATTCGTTCCGGATGTATGTTCTTAACCCGAAACAGTTCTTAACCCAAGGTGCACTTTTGCTAACGGCGCCTCCCGCTGCCGCCAACGCGCAATTTCCCTTCCCATCCTGGGGCATGGTTTGCAACCTGAGGTATTACTTCCAGGTTAGTGGAGTTTGTAACCTGAAGCGTTTGTAACCCGAGGTACCACTGTATAGGATTGCAGCCTAGAAAAGGCAAGACAAACGAGAGATGTTGTAGGCCATACGTCTTAAAAACCATTCTTACAGTTCTGAAAGTATGTTCAGATAGTTTATTTTATTTTATTTTTGCAGCATTAAAGTTAAATATTTCCAACACAGATTGTTCCACTGGTTTTGGTTATGCCTGCTTATGATGCACACAGAACATTGCAGTGGTCTTGAAGTTACTTCAACACTGAGAGGTACTAGATTGAACACAGAATAGTAACAGGATGGTCAAAATCCTCTGAGATGTGTTCAGGAGGGTCTCAACTGGGGGGAAAGAGGTGCTACAACCACATTCCAATTGAAATGAGGCTTTGCTCACACAAGTTGCAGAGTGGGGGATTTCAAAAATACCTCTTCCACCACTCTGGTT